CTAGACCCTGGAGCTCTGCTCTCTGAGTGTGAGCTGTGCTGGGATCCAGAATCACCAAGCACGTGTCGCGGTGTCCTGGGGTGCACCGGTTGGTAGGCAGCCTTGAGGGACGGTAGGGAGGTAGGAGTGACTGACAGACACAGTCCTAGCTCCGGCTGTGGAGACGTGAGGACAGGCAGCCCTGCCTCCTGTGACCAGGGGTGACATGGCGCCTGTGGAGGGATGACTGCTGAGCCTGTGAGCTCTGAGTGGTGCGGGCAGATTCCTTGGTGTCTGACACTGTCTCGTGCAGTTGTTGGTCTCTGTCTTAGTTAGGGTTTCTGTTACTATGAAGAGACACCATGGCCACGGCAACTCTTATAAAGGAAAACATTTAACCGGGTGGCTCACTGACAGTTCAGAGTTTCAGGCCGTTATCATCATGGTGGGACACGGTGAATTGAGGCAGGCATTTTAACGAAGAAGTAGCTGAGAGTTCTTCATCTTGTGCAGGCAACAGGAGGAAACCTGTCTCACTCATATATTTGGAGGTCAGACTGTGCCCACCTGTGTTCCTTGTGTTATGTAAGACAGTAGTTTTCAGAGTGTGCCTTGCCCTGAGTGACTCCATTTTATATAACAGCGGTTTGCTTCATTTGAAAAGCAAATGCTGAGGCAAAAATGTCTCTGTACCGTATGTGTCCAAGTGTCCAGCACAGAAAATAAACATAGGTCAATAATAACTTATTAGTACAAATAAATTATTCCTAAATATAAACATATCAAGCCAGGAACACCTAGACCCATGGATGTTTGAAGACCTTGTCCAAGATAACAAGCTTGTGTGTTTGTCTAAAACACCAGAGCCATGAGAGCTGCAATGTGCTCCCTTGGACTAAGCACTGAGCCCTCATCAGGCCACCCGATGCATGCAACAAACTCTCAACTCTGTCCCCAACAAACGCTCAACTCTGTCCCCAACAAACGCTCAACTCTGTCCCCAACAAACTCTCAACTCTGTCCCCAACAAACTCTCAACTCTGTCCCCAACAAACTCTCAACTCTGTCCCCAACAAACTCTCAACTCTGTCCCCAACAAACTCTCAACTCTGTCCCCAACAAACTCTCAATTCTGTCCCCAAAAAACGCTCAACTCTGTCCCCAACAAACGCTCAACTCTGTCCCCAACAAACTCTCAACTCTGTCCCCAACAAACTCTCAACTCTGTCCCCAACAAACGCTCAACTCCGTTCCCAGGGCTTCTGCTCTCCATGCTCAGCCCAGATTGAAGTGAAACATTTGTTCACACCCCCTATGTATGCCTGGAGTCAGCTCTGCTTTGGAGCAACCCCCCAATTGAACCATCACTGTATCTGGAACTGACTCTGTGCCTTGAACCAACTGAGGATTTATTGAGCCCCTGTTCCAGAACAGCTCTCTCTGCTGCACGCATATCAGCTCTGCTTTTGCCTTCCACAACTCGGCTTTAACCCTTTCACCACTGTAACCTTTCTTGGTGATACTGTGTCTCCTTGCGTCCAATGCAGTCTGTGATCTGAGAGACAATATTGGTCATTAGGATTAGAAGGAACCAGTCCACACTTGCCCAAAGCCCTAGAAAAAAAGGAAAGTGCCTGGGGAATGAAAGGCAAGAAAGTTGATGTAGCTCATGAATGTGTTGATCTTCAATAATCTGACATGTGGATGATATAAGTGTGTGCATGCATGTTTTTCACATGGTATCCTCATGGCAGTGACTGATTCAATGAGTTCATACCCAACACTGCTCGGCCAAGCAGGAGGAGACAGTGTCAGGTCTAATCCCCCTGCTGACTCATGAGAGACATAGGTTTCTCCTGCCAGCCTGTTGTCACCAAGGCAGCCTGTTCTACCTTGGGGGTGCTACCCTGGCCTCACACATGTGGAACACGCAGTGACCTATACTCTCAGGCCCGGGTCAGTGTTTCTCTATGTGTCAAGTGTCTTCTGCATTTTCTCCTGTCACGGGCACAGGTGCTTGGGACCCTTTCGTCAAGCCCTGCAGATTCCTTAGGCTCTTGTGTAGTGCTCTGTCTTTCCAACTTGGAACTTCTTTTTCCGTTTGAGAATTCTCATGCAGAATGGATTTCATTTCAGTATCCATCCTGTGTTTCTCCAGTTCTTAATCTGTCTGTGTTTAAGTGGTTGCTGATTGCATTTATTGAAATCCTAATGACGATTGTTTTTCAAATAGATTCTGTGTCTTGTGATAAGAAATCTGTACTTCCTTTACCTTTGAATGTAGCGATCAATTGTCATATTATTAATGATTTCCAATCACACTCTTGGTTACTTGTGAACATCCTTCTATGTTCTCACTTTGTGAGTATTTAATCACGTTTACTGACGTGCCTAGAAATTTGCAATTGAAATTTTGGATAACACTTTTGAACAGGAGGGGTTTATTATTTTACTGCAGTGTCTGAGTAGAGCCCACTGATGTGGCAGAGGCTTAGCCCCAGAGTTTGGTTTGTCCGAATTCCCAAAGCCTAAGTCTTCTGGATCTCAAAAGCCCAGTGTTTAGAGCAAGCCATTGTTCTGAGGCTCCAGGTTTGCCTGGTTACAGACTGCTAATAGTTTTCCTCCAGAACAACAGGGCTTCTGGCAGATGTGTTTACCAGTTTTATTTTCCTGCCTTTTCTGGATTTGCCCTGTACTTGGGTGGCTTGTGGCTTATGGCAGGAAGGAAGGCAGCAGGGTCTCGGCTGACTTCATGCTGCTGTCCCTGCAGCGCTGGCTGCTTTGGTTGCTGTCATCAGAGCTCTTCACGCAGCCGCTGCCCACGCTGTCTTCTCCAAGGCTGCTCCTGGAGAAGGCTCACCTGAGTGTATGCTCCCTCACAGCAGGAGCTCACCACCCTGGATGTCAGCTATTAGAGAGGAAACAAGATGTGTTCAAGATGGTTTTAATCTGTTTCACAAGCTCCGTTCACTAAAAGTCTTACTTAAAAGCAAATATTAACAACTTGTGAAATGAGATATTTAAGTTTCATTGATATTGGTTTTCCTTGAATTTCTTAAGCTGCTTAACCACTTACTGATTTGGTGTCCCTAATCACTGTGTGAGCTGTTCTTGGACTCACAGAGATCCGTCTATCTCTTGATCCCGAGTCCTAGGATTAGAGGTGTGGACCACCACTTCATTCCTTCTGGCTGCTGGGATTAAAGGTGTATAGCTGGCTTCAATGCCTTGTGGTTGACTTTGCTTTCTGAATCCTCAGCCAAGCTTTAGTAAATCATAAATGATACCACTACAGGAATCTTCCTGTGGCTGCACAGTTTAATATGATCAGTAACTGTGCTGTGCTGTGTCACAATGTTGTTTGTGTGGACCACAGTTTGCTGTTCCTTCTGCAGGAACGAAGAACCTGTCAATATGTCTTCCAGTAATGACCCTGTTGCAGTCCCAATGATAGAAAGAAATCCCAGTGACGATCCTCGAATGGACACTGGTGACCTGAAGACATTGACTGGAGAGGCTGTGTTAAGTTTTCATAGCATCAGCTATAAAGAAACAGTGCAGAGTGGCTTTCCATTTCGTAAAAAAAAAACATGTGTGATAGAAAGACTATCAAATATCAGGTTTGTGCATGAACTAAAGAGACAAGTATATAAAACAGCTTTGTCAACAAGCATAGACTTCTCTATTATTAGTATTCTGTGTATTGTGTGTGCATGTGTGTGTATGCATGTGTTACTGTATGTATGTGTGTATATAACTGTATATGTGTGCGTGTTTGTGTGCAGATGTGTGGATGCGTTGACATACCTTGGCACAAGGCCGTAAGAGGACAACCCTGAGCGTTGGCGTGCACCTTCTACCCTGCGGCAGACAGAGTCTCTCATTGCCCACTGAGGTGTGTGCCAGGCTAGCAGCCTGCAAGCCTCCTGGGATTCTCCTGTCTCTGTCTCCATCCCTCCATGGAGCACGTTACAGGTGCCCACGACCGCACCAGCTTTATGTGAAGTCTGGAGTGTGGCTCATCCTAAGTTGTCCATGCTGCAATATGTGGTACTCTATATCCTTGGTCTTGAGACCAGCACCAACTGGATTCAAAAAGGAAGAAGAGGAGGAAGAAGATGATGAGGTTGGGAGGGGCTCAGAGGGAGACTTAGAGCAGTTGGAGGAGGAGCAGACACAATCTAAATACATGGTGTCCATCTATGCAATAAGAAGAGTCCTTACGCATCTTCACCCGTATGGCCCATTGTCAGTCTTGACAGGACATCCCTTTAAAGTGATTTTAAGAATGTGTATGTGGGAGTCGGGGATGTGTGATGGGAGTACTGGTGCCCTTGGTGGTCAGGAAAGGAAGTCAGACACACTGGATTCTGGGGAGCTGTGAGCCGTACCACGTGGGTGTTGTGTGCTGAGCTTCCCCGGGAGCAGAGTGCATGCTTGACCACTGGCCCATGTGTGAGCTGCCCCCTCTCACTTTCCCTGTACATTAGTCTTTATTCTCCGCACCAGCTGTCTCTGTGAAAACTCTTACCCTCTAGCTTTGCAAACAAATAAACATAACGTTACAGTGCCATGCACAAGTTATATTGACTGCCTGTGGAAATAATATTTTGATACATTGGGTTACATAAGATGTGTTATTTAAATTATTTTTAAAGCCACTAAGAAAAAACAGCACTGAGATGCAAACATTTTGCTTCCTGGCCCCCAAGTCCTCATCTTAGTTGTCTTCTAAAAGCTTCTGCCATTTCTAGAAACAGAAATGTCATCATGTAATAGTGAATTTTAGCTTATCACTCTTCTAAAATGTGAATATACTGTTGTCCCAGCCTTCTTCATGAAACCTCTAAGACTGAGGACATAATGAAATGCGTGTGTCTCTTCAACTTTTCATTCCAATTTGTCCTCCCTAAAGGAAGCCTAAGGATCAGGTTCTTCATTAATCTCCCAGAAGGCATTGCATCTGTTCCTGGGCACTTTCATAGAAGAGAAGAGTTTTAAATAATAATCACACTACTATGTGTCGTTTTGACTTTATTTTATAAGAAACCTTTTAGCTCAATTTACATTAGTATAGAGAAAGCTTGACAGACATTTGTTACTTGACTATATAGTACTCCAAGATCAAGGATGGCACATGAAAATATGTTACCAATCATATTCAATGACGTTTAGGTAGTTTCCAAATGTATCCCTATTACAATGACACCAATGACTTTTCCTCTTTCAGTACAAAATACCCCAGCAACGGCAACTTAAGAAATAAAGCACTTGTTATGGTTCATGATACCACTTGATACGTTCAGCGTGGCGGAGAAGGCATAGGAAAGAAGCTGAGGCTGATGACCACATGACATCCACAGTCAGGACGTCACGAGAGGTGGGCGTTAGTGCCCAGCTTGCTCTCACCCTGTAACTTTGTCCGCAGTCCACAGGCATGGAGCTGTCCACACATGGGGTGGGTTTCCTACCACAGTAACCTGAGGTGATCCTCACAAGCTAACCTAGAACAGACGGTGCTCACAGGATGCAGAAGAGTTTGTGTCCTGAATCATTCTATAGCCAGTCCAGTTGACCAACAGTAACTGCCAGAACACACAGTGACTTATAACTAGTTTCCATAGGAAGGGTTCCAAAAATTTGTTCCCTGAAAGCATACCCTTTCTGTGAAAAAAAATATATGTGTGTGTGTGTGTGTGTGTGTGTGTGTATGTGTGTGTGTGATCTATCTAATATGGGAGGGGCATAGATGTTCTCATAAGCACTTTTTATGTTTAAATTTGCTGAATGAAAATGAAAACATGAAGCTTCAAAATAAGACAAAGTATATATTAACAGTCTGCCATTTCATCCCAAGAAGAGTGAAGAAGAGTGGATCCTATTTAAATATGGGAAAAAAGCCTTTTACAACCTCTGCAACTAATAAAGCAGGAGCAAAAATCACTGTAGCAAATCCTCTTACAATATTATCTACAAAAGAACCACTATTTCTTTTCATATCTTCGATGTTATACTTCAGTCGCTGTATTTCTCCATTCATTTCCTCAGATTTTTTCCTAAATCCTTCTTCAAGCAAAGCCTTTTGATCCTAAAACAGTAACCAAGAGAGAGCAGAAAATATCATAAAATCCCAGCATTGTAAGAATTATAGCTTTAAACCTTTAGCAAGGGGCCTTGGTGTTCCCTACGTGATGTCTCTTATATGAAGAATTTCCTGTGAGTTAGGCCTACACATTGTGGGAAGGAGAGTTGGCACTTCACGGATGTTGACCCACAGTGTGTGTTCTGGCTGCAGTGCTGGCAGAGGTGTGCAGACGTTCCTACACTCACGCCCACTGAAGGAGGTTGGATCGTGCAGACCTCAGATCACTGAGAGAGTGTGGCAACCGCACCATACAGATGGTGGCAACAGACCCATTGATTTAGACCTCTGCTAGCATTGTGTTTGCTCATGGGCAATGACAGAATCACTCCGATTGTTTTAATTTAAGAAAAGCTGCCTGTGAGAGAAAGACCCCATGCAACAGGGTTCAAGCAAAGGGGATTTTTATTAGTTTAAGGGATCATAAGAGGGGGAAAGGCAAGAGGGAAGACCCAGCCTCTGGAGACAGGAGCAGCAGGAGAGAGGAGGAAGGGAGGAGGGGGAGAGATGCAGAGGGAGGGAGAAAGAGAGGAACAGACAGAGGGAGAGAAAGAGAGAGAGAGAGAGAGGATGTCGGGAGGTGGGCGGGGCATTTTAAAAGGGAACATAGTGAATGTGCACAGGTGGTTCTCTTAGTGGCTGCAGCTGAGGGCGTGCCCTGTCAGAACCCCCAAGAGAGGCCAGTGCCAATGCATGAACACTAACAGCTAAGTCATGTGCTGCCTCCAACAGGCTGTGCACTCTGGAGACAGCTACAGACCCTGCAGAAGCTGCTAATTCCCTGTGCTTTCAAACTGGACATTTCGTTCAGTTTTACGTCAGCATAGATCATCTTTGGGTGGGGAGGGGGTGGGTGAGTATTCAGGTGCCTGATAAATGGGCCTTGAGAACCCAGACCCATGGCTGACCCATATGAAACTGCCTGGTTGGGGATTATTTTTAGTGAGACCCCAGGAGATCAATTTTAAATATCCTGAGAGTAAATCAAACGATACAGTCACTAAAACCCAAAGGAGCAACTGAGATCCTATGGGGGGACATCCATAGCAACACTACATTTTGGTGGGTTTTCCTCTCATGACCAGGCTACAAACTTTTGCCTGCTCCCCAAGGTAGGAAGACCTCTGGGGGATGGGGATTCCCACCTGCAGCTGCTTCTGCAGCATCGTTTTCTGGTCTCTGATGAGCTGCTCTCTCTCCTGCACCAGCTTTGTGCGCAGCTGCTCTAGGTTTTCCTTGTGACTTCTCTCCTGAGCCTCCATCAGCTGCTGCTGCTCCTTCTGCTTCTGTCTCAGCAGCTCCTGCTCCTTCTCAGCCGCCTCCTTCTGGGCCCGCTCCTCTGCCCCAGGAAGATCAGGGAGGGAAGCAGGGATGGGGGATTCCGGGTGGATGAGGAAGAAAGAGATGATGGGTCAAGTAAAATGTCTACATTCCAGAACCCAGAGAGCAATTCAGATCTGGAAGGAAACCCCAGACTCCACACTGGCCCGCACCATGGAGAGAGAGCTCCTGGGGGTGATGGAGGAGACCCTGCCCATCTGACTGAAACACAGATGGACTCCCTGTTGCTCTCAGAGTGAGCATGCACAGAAGGATGGAGGGCTGCTCATCTGAGGCGTCTATCAGGAAGCCATGGCAGGAATCTGACCCCTCCTGAAAGCCAAGAGACATGCTCCTGTACCTGCAATGGCCTTCTCCCCAGCGGTGAGGGCTGTGTCTGCCTGCAGGATGGAACTCTCGATGGTGGCCTGTGACTGCAGAAAACTCTGGAAGACTTCCCTTGCCTGTAGGACCAAAGAGCGAAGAACCCTGATAAGTCCTGGGAGAGTAGCTGTGTGCGTCTACGCAGTCTTCACTGTCGGCGCTGTAAAAACGCTATGGTGCAGCCTGCAGATGCCCATGCTCCTCAGTGGGACGGCATACTTCCTGGTCCAGGGTTCCTCCGTTCATCCCGCTAGTGCCACCAGCCTCAGACTCTCCCAGATGCAGCCTGTCCACGTCACGGGCAGCTGTGCTCACTGCAGCCTGTGATGCTCTCAGATACTGCGTCCCCGTGTAAAGTGGGCCATCCCTATGTGGGCTTCACTCCCCTCTGCTCTTGCTGGATGTGTTCATGGGTGAGTCACTTCACCCACCTGGGCATCGGGAACAGGTCTGTAAACTGTCCACAATAGTGTTGGGCATCACCCAGGGCGTTTAAGATAACTAGAGAAAGGTCTGAGGAAAGAGCTCACCATGGTGCCCACAATGGAGTAATGTGTTAGGTGTGTTCTTACATGTATTAGCACCCCATAGGTAGGCCAACCTGACAGACTCACAAAGTGATTCATCAGAACATACACAAGAATATTTCCAACAGTTGACAGTAACTAGCAGCCTCGTTTAGCTGAGCCGGGTCCTGGTGACGGACTTGAGGGTAAAGCACTTGCCTTGCTTTGCAAAGCCCTGATTTTGTCGAAAGCACCGACCTGAAGCTGAAGTCGCCCTGATGTGCTCGTGTTTGCTTACTCCTCTCAGGCAGTGCTGTGCTCAGGTCTTATGACAGCGCCTTTCCCCGGATCATAGTACCTGTGCTCCCTACGCCTCACCCCTGTCCTGTGCTCCCTGCACCTCACCCCTGCCCTGTGCTCCCTGCACCTCACCCCTGCCCTGTGCTCCCTACGCCTCAACTCTGTCCTGTGCTCCCTATGCCTCACCCCTGCCCTGTGCTCCTACACCTCACCCCTGTCCTGTGCTCCCTATGCCTCACTCCTGTCCTGTGCTCCCTGCACCTCACCCCTGCCCTGTGCTCCCTGCTCCTCACCCCTGTCCTGTGCTCCCTATGCCTCACCCCTGCCCTGTGCTCCTACACCTCACCCCTGTCCTGTGCTCCCTACGCCTCACCCCTGTCCTGTGCTCCCTGCACCTCACCCCTGCCCTGTGCTCCCTGCTCCTCACCCCTGTCCTGTGCTCCCTATGCCTCACCCCTGCCCTGTGCTCCTACACCTCACCCCTGTCCTGTGCTCCCTATGCCTCACCCCGTCCCGTGCTCCCTGCTCCTCACCCTTGTCCCGTGCTCCCTGCTCCTCACCTTCACCCCTTTCCTGGGCACCCGCCAGTAGTCATGTTCAATCTGTTCCCTCTTTTCCATGTAGAGCCCGTGCCCTCCAGGAACTGAAAATGTTGAAATATTTTCCATAAAAGCCTTTGAAAGCCGATTGAGTTCTTCACGGCAGTATTTATCTGATGCTTCTTCATTCCGTAGCATGAAAATTATTCTCTTCTTATCTATCAATTCCTACAAGGGAAACGTACAGAATTCCACACTTTGAAGGACAGAAGAGATAAAATTCCCAGAAACTGGACAAGAGTCAACCTATTTCCCATGAGAATGCATTCCAGTGTAAGAAGACCTCAAGTGTATGTGAGATGCTAAGACCTGAATGAGGATCCTAAAAAAAATCTACGCAGGACCACAGTAAATGCCCTATAAGTTCTAACCTCCTAACTTTCTGTAAAAAGATGGATCTGCATCTTACATCTCTGGTTCCTTGTGGGTGTCACCGCCTGTAATTCTGCCTTCAATGACACCATGATATGACAAGGAGCCATAGATGAGCAGTGACCTGCAGTGAGACTCTAGTGAGAAACTAGAGGTCTTCTTCTTTCATAGAAGAAGAATACAGCAAGTTCAGGGATGAGCTGTAGGTGTTCTGGGCAGAACTGAAATCCACAAACATCAGCTGGGTGAAGGATTTAGGACACCATATACTCATTATTCCAGCCATTACAGATTTCTGGATAAAAATTCAGGCGTTGTTTAAGAGGGGACATGCAGTCTTTGACGCAGAGATGCTCATTGCACCTGTGGTCAATGAAGGCTCAGCCGCCTACAATCCTGACGGGGTAGAGTCGTGAGAGTTTACACCTGTGCTCGATGAAGACTCAGCCGTGCTACAGTCCTGACGGGGTAGAGTCATGAGAGCTAACGACACAAACATTACCAGCAGCTTCCTCTGGAATTGCTGGTCTTCGTCCTTGAAGGAGTGCTCCATGAAGACAGCAATGGCCTCCTTCTCACAGGCTGTGTGCTCACCCAGCAGCTCCTGGAGCGTGTCTGTGGGGAGCCTCAGTCGCCGGGCCATCTGCTCATCGTAGTGGTCAGCGGCCTTCTGCACAGCTGCTGAGTTCTCACGCTGGGCCAGAGTTGTCACAGCGTCTTCCAGACAAGGCACGGCTCCACTGTTGATGGCCTCCACGTAGGTGGTCACCAGAGTCCCCAGTCCTTTATGAGCCAGGAGTTTTGGGTGATAAATATGAAGTTACAAGTATAAGACTACACTTCTAAATCTCATAGCTACATTTGCACACTCATACACAGACTCACATCCACACACACCCCTCCCTCGGCAAGCCACCAATCTTTTCCATAGTGTTCTTTTGTATTTGTGTTTTTCTAGTTCATAACGCTACAAGTTAAAATTCATCTCCATGTAATAAATTCCACTGTATGAATAATATAATTTTGCATCTGAAACTTTAGAGGAAAATGGATTGTATGAACTAACAAGGAAACACATATCACATGATTTCTTAATAGTATCAATTTGCACAGCTTAAACACTAGGATTTATATTGGAACTATTTTAATTTCCAAATTACATTTCTCTTTGTCATTCAAGAAATAATTAATATAGGAGAGAGCCCCAAAGAAAATAGAATATATCATCTTTAGTTGTTTAAAACCGATTTTATAGGTGATTAAGTCCCTTTTCACCAGTGACTTTATTATTAGTTGGGAATTTTATATAGGTATGTTACTGACATAATACTAGTGGTGAAGTCTTTAAAGAAGGACTTGTAATCTACATTTAAGCACAAAACATAGATTTTTTTCAGAGTAGGGATACAAGTATATTATCATTGTATAGATAATTTTTAAAAATATACACATACTAATAAATTCACCGTATACTACTCTATACAGAGGTATCTTCAAAAACAAAATGAAACACTCACGATTCCCAGTGACCTTAATTCCCTCTCTGAGGGTCTTGATCTTTGCATAAGTGAAGATGTAAGAAACAAAAGCCCTTGTTTGTTCCAGGAACTTGGGATCCATTTGGTCTTCTGAGACAGTCTCAATTTTTTGCAAGAGTCCTTTGTCACTCGTTGGCCGGTCAAACACAAAGCACTTCCGTTTAGGAAAGAAATGTCTGATGCACTCCCTGGACAAGTTGGATGCTTGGATTCTGGGATTGTTGCCTGGTGTTGGGGAAACAGAGAGCAGGGGGAAGAGTCTCAGAGCAGAGAGCAATGTCAGGGGCTCTTGTCTGTGTGAGTGCTCTGCACTCACAGGTCTCTGCGCCAGACACACGCAACACTTCTTTGCATGTCAAAGGATAGCAAGCTTGCACTTGGCAGAAGTCTGGTGAGACATTTCACTCTCTGGAAGAGCACGTGGGTGAGATCCACAGACCTGACCATGGCACCTAGTTTGTGCAACAAAAGACCTAGGCCTGGGCAAAGCTACGTCCACCTTGAAGGCTAGTGAGATGTGCTGACATGAGGTGTCTGAGATTGAGTGTGTGCAGCTTAGGAGTGTCTCTGGGATTAAAGGAAAGAGTTGGTTTCAGCTCTATATACATGATAATAGATGTCTTCTGCCAGTACCCCGCTTGTGGATAGTTATTTAAGATGATTCTGGAATAAACCTGGGGTCTCCAGTATTGACTGAGAGCCCTCCTGATGTCTTTGTCTCCTCCTTAATGTCATCGGCTCACCGCACTTCAGGAAAGTGCTGTATTGGGAATTTTGTTTCTTTCTCTTATGCAGATGGGTGTAGGGTATGTATGCATGTTGTCCTGTGTCCGTGCATATGGGGTCATGGGTCTCCATGTAGAAGCAGGTTTCTCACGGGAAACTGGAATGCTTTCCCACCTACTATGTTTTTAATGCTTGGAGAAAGCACAGACAGAAAAGTGAAAGCAGAGGGCAAATCAGAAATGGCATTCCACACAAGGCTTCATCAGCTCCTCTCGGGTGAATAACGTCTATTAGAAACAGTTCATGGATCATGATTATAACTGACACAGACACCGCGGAATGAGTGAAAGCAGACTACTGTGATAAACGTGATGGACACTGAGAAGGCGTCGACTGGAAAGAACATCTGTCAGTGTACTTAGAACATAGCTGTTTTACAGACAACACAACCAACCCAGCCCTAAAAACCAATGTTCCTCCATGAGAAGAACAATGCATAACTCTTTGAGACGGGCTGTCTATGATCACTGTATGAATGAGAATTATGTATCCAACTGCTTCTTAAAGGAAGGCAGATATAAAAATCAGCAATACAGAGGCCTGGACTTGGAGAAGTTTTGGATGCCGTATGCTCTAGATGCTCATACAAACTTTAAAGACCTTAGCTAGGATTGATTTTGCTGTGTTCCAGGCTCTACTTCTCTCAAAAGAAATTAAACCCAGTTCCCAGACATTATCAGCCAATGACCTGTCAGCCTCTCTGCAGACCTCAATCCCACTGCAATACAGAAGGACCCCACAGAGGATGGGAGCAGCTCAGCAGATCCCAGCCCTCACCCCAGCCCCTCCTGTACCTGTGTTCAGCTTCAGGGCATTCTCCAGGTACTGATCCTCCGTGATGCTGTGTCCATCCAACTTCAGCTCCAGCATGAAATCCCGAACAGTCCAGACAAAGTCTGGAAAGAAACTCACGAACTCTGTGGAATTCTTTATCCCATCAGGACTTGGGGAAGACTTTGCCCTGATCAGCTCAGTGAGTTCTGTGACATAACTGGCACTCAGTTAAGGAAAAGTGAATTCATGCACACATCCTCATGATTCTCTTAGGAAAAATAAGACACACAGTGACAGCTCAGGTGAGAGTCTCCAAATGCATGCAGAGCAGTCAGGGAAGCCTGGGGCTCAGGTCCTGCAAGGATACTGCAGCTGCTCCAGGGCCTGGTGGTTGATGGTGCTCATGCTGTTGCAGACCAAGGTGCTGCTCAGAAGCACGGCCAGGGCAAAGATCCACGAGTCATTCTTAGGGTCACCCTGGAAGACATGGGAGAACAGAGGGCTGAGGAGAGCTCTCTCCAGGAGTCCATTTGGATTGGCCCTGTGGCCTTGTTATTCCAAGAACTCGAAGTCCAAAGCAGATGGAGAAAGAGTGTGTTTGCTGGATAGAGAAAGTATCGAGGTCACCTGAGAAGCTTGGTTGAACCCACATCGCTGTACACAGAACACAGCTCCAAGTGGAGCAAAGATCTCACTGTAAGATAAGACACCCTGACTCATAAGGGAGAGAGGATGGGGAATGGGCTTGGACTCATTTGCTCAAGAGCAGATTTTTCTCAACAGGACCCAGGTCTCATAGTCATTGAGAGAAATTAGAAGGCAGGATTTATGAATAGGAAAAATTCTATAACCATTAAACATCAGATAGATGGTTAATGTTCAGAATATATAGAGAGCTGAAAGCAAAAACAAACAAATAATTGAACATGAAGAAAACAAATAGTCCAATTTAAAACTTGGGCATAGAACTCAAACACTAAGAAACACATAATAAAAGGTTCAACAGTCTTAGCCATCAGGGAACTGCATTTAAAACTGCTTTGCAATTTCATCCTATGGATCAGAAAGGCCAAGAGCAATAAAACAAATGATTGCACAAGCTTTATGTACTGATTCCCATATGACCTCAGACACTGTCACTGCACAGGTGACCTCACAGAGAGTGTCACAGCACAGGTGACCTCACAGAGAGTGTCACAGCACAGGTGACCTCATAGACACTCACAGAACAGGTGACCTCACAGTCACTTACAGCACAGGTGACCTCATAGACACTCACAGCACAGGTGATCTCACAGAGAGTGTCATCACAGGTGACCTCACAGAGACTGTCACAGCACAGGTGACCTGACAGACACTCACAGCACAGGTGACTTCTCATACAGTGTTACAGCACAGGTGATCTCACACACTCTGTCACAGCACAGGTGACCTCACAGATACTCACAGCACAGGTGACCTCACAGATACTCACAGCACAGGTGACCTCACAGACACTCACAGCACAGGTGACCTCACAGAAACTGTCACATCACAGGTGATCTCATAGGGAATGTCACAGAGCCTACAAGCACCTGCACTGGGACAAATCAAAGTCCCAGCTTAGAAGACAAGTAGACACAGAGTCCTGATGGAACTTTAGTTTTAAAAACATGCCTGCTGCTTCACAGATGGTTTAAAAGTAGTTACAGACATTGCCAACGATATTCTTTATAAAGTAAAGTCCTACAACTCACAGGAAATCACAAAATACCCTCTTTAACCACATTAATCTTGAGGAAGAGCAACAGCACACACCCTGACTTAGAACAAGTTACTAGGCTGTAGTTGTCAGAACAGTGAGGTTTATTCAAATTCCTTTTTAAAGTGCTGCTAAGAGACACCGCAAAGAGAGCAGTGAGGTGACCATGGACGTGTGCGTCTCGGGATAGAGTGCTGAATCCCATCAATGTATACAATAGTCAGAGCGTCAACGGACTATGCCTGCTCCCATTGGACGGGTACAGACAATGAGGAATACCAACACAGCATTTAAAAAGGAGAGAAAGCCTGCCACTGGAAACAACATGTGTAAATCTTAGAGCAGTGGGCTGTATGACATGAGCCAATTACAAATATGCAGTGCTACTAATGCCCCTCTGGAGGAAAATGGAAAACCTGCGAATTCAGACACTGCTCTCAGACGTCTAACACCGAGGGGAGGAATGAAAGGATGAACCTGAGGCCAGATGAGGCAGGGTGGGGAGCCTCTTACTGCACCAGCCACACAGTGCATTTTAGTCTCTGGGACCCGGATGAGGCTGGAAAGAGGTGTGGCGTTTCCTAACACACACACAGGTCCACAGTCACCCAATGAACCACACAACGTCTCACATACTTAAGAAAACCAAATTCATCCAAGTAGTTATTGTGGGAGAAACATGTGCCTTCACTGCCTGCACGGTCAGCTCTGTCAAGAACTTCCTGAACGCCCTATGGACAGGTGGTTAAGTTTCACCATTAAAAAAACAAATGTGAATCCAAGCGGTTGGACAGATGGCTCAGTGGTAAGAACACTTGCTGCTCTTCCAGAGGGCTGATGTTTGTTCCCAGCATCCACACCAGGCTGCTTCTGACTTGCTGTGACTCCAGCCCCCGGGGAATCCAAAGCCTATGAACACCGAAGATGCCTGTGCTCACATGCATGTACCACAGGCTGGCACACATCCTACACATAAAGACATGTCTCTCAAAAGTGTAAGCCTAACTACTTAACCCCATCTCCAAAACGTGTCCTAGTTTTCTCAGGTGACGAGACAGAAGTCGTTCTTCCTCCATTGAGATGGGCTGAAGTCATCTATCTTCTCACGGAAGCATCCTTCTACCTGACTGCTCCTAGTAGAAGTAGCACCGTCTGCCCGGGTCACCTTAAAACGGAAGACCTTGTTCCTCCAGCTGCGGGAGTACTGATGGGCATCAGGGCACAAGAAGCCAGCACCTTGAATGGCAAGGCCTCCAGGGCAGACGTCCAGTGGTGGGCAGGCATGAGAGACAGAGACTCAACACACCTGACCCAACACAGGCCAGCTCAAATGTTCCAGCCCAGCTCTCCTTCTGGAGCTCAGAGGTCAGATGCTGCCCCAAACAGCCCTTCCTCTCTCTGTCCTGCTTCTCCCCAGGTACTGGGCTGTATCAGCGTACACCCGGGTGGGATTCTCAGTGAAACTAGAGGGTTCTCAGAGGAAAATCCTTTGTTTTGTTCACTAATACCTAACTACTCCCCAGGAATGTAATTGCTAAATAAACTTTTCTTGGATTGAATGAAATCACTCACCCAAATGACAAGAAATGAAAGCATAATTTTCCCTAATATAATACATAGGCAGGCAGGTCTCTATGAGTTTGAGACCAGCCTGATCTACAGACAAGTTCTAGGACACCCAGGACAACATAGAGAAACCCTGTCTAAAAATAAAATAAAATAAATTAAAAAATCTGACCCTATCTAAGAGTGAAATCTAACTAGATCAGTATTTATCTCACCTGTGTAGTTCAGTCTGTAGAACATAAATCTGTTTATGAACACATCAGGCAGTTGGGTCAAAAGGGTTCATAATGGTCAGCCTTAGCCTCATCCTACCTTCTCCACGTCCCCCAGGCCCTCGGTGTCCAGGAGGACCAGCGTGTGCTTTGGCTTGGTGGGGTGGGGCACACAGCACATCCAGATGCCCTTGGTTTCAGACTGCACGGTGGAGCCCAGAGGGAAGCCTGAGGGAGAGGTAAGGAGGCAGGGTTTGTATGTGCATTTCCTGCACAGATAGCCTTGTGTGCTACAGCATCAGTGCTGGACAGCCTCGTGTGCTAAAACTCACTGTCCAGAAGCCCCGTGTGCTAAAACTCACTGTCCAGAAGCCCCGTGTGCTAAAACTCACTGTCCAGAAGCCCCGTGTGCTAAAACTCACTGTCCAGAAGCCCCGTGTGCTAAAACTCACTGTCCAGAAACCTCGTGTGCTAAAACTCACTGTCCAGAAACCTCGTGTGCTAAAACTCACTGTCCAGAAACCTTGTGTGCTAAAACTCACTGTCCAGAAGCCCCGTGTGCTAAAACGCACTGTCCAGAAGCCCCTGTGCTAAAACTCACTGTCCAGAAGCCTTGTGTGCTAAAACTCACTGTCCAGAAGCCCCGTGTGCTAAAACTCACTGTCCAGAAACCTCGTGTGCTAAAACTCACTGTCCAGAAACCTTGTGTGCTAAAACTCACTGTCCAGAAGCCCCGTGTGCTAAAACTCACTGTCCAGAAGCCCCTGTGCTAAAACTCACTGTCCAGAAACCTTGTGTGCTAAAACTCACTGTCCAGAAACCTCGTGTGCTAAAACGTCAGTGCTCCATGGCCTCATGTTCTAAAATGTCAGGGCACAGCAACCCCCTTTATTAAAACACCAGTGCCCAAAGTCCCCCTGGGCTAAAATGTCAGTGCTCAGCAGCCAGCACCATTTTGAGGGATTCCAAAGATGTGAATTGAAGAGTTGAAGCCTAACTGGAGGACAAAGTACCAGCGGAGTGATACTGGACTTAGGACTGGGTCCCCGGTCCCTTCCTCAGCCTCTGACATCTGTCTTCCATGTCCTCCAGCTGCCTCCGTGTGGTGCCAGGGTCAATGACTCCAGTGAGTGTCCAGAGTCATCCCTCCCCTTAAGTTGTGCTCTCTGGTGCTCTGGACACAGCTTCGACAAAGCACCCAAGAGGACGACGCTCGGGAAAGCAGATGTGAGCTGTAGAACTGACAGTGAGTGAAGCTCAACACTCAAAATGGTGCTCCATCTTTCCAGACACCGTCCTAGCTCACGAGTGGCCCATCTCAGGCTATAGGGGACATTTAACGTGAGAGTGAGGCCACACCAGGGCTCCAAATGGAAACAAGGAGGGACCACCAATCAGAAAACATGGAGCTCTCTGGTGGCTGCAGTGAGAAGGTTCTGAGCCAGTCACAGTTGGACACACCCATAATCCCTGTAGGCAGGGAGCAGAGGCTGGAGAATCCTCACTGGTTTAAGAGCAGGTGGAACTAATCAGCTATAACCAGGCCAACCAACAAATGAATCAAAAGTCACTTTTTTTTTTACAAACTATTCAAATTGGTGTGGGTTCTGAAGCAGAGACACACAAGAAGAGGAAAAATATAAAATAAAGAAGTAAGAATTAAGATGCTGTGACAAAGACAGGCAAACCTTTGTCTAGTAACCAGCGTGCCACTCACCATGATTTTGTCCCGCCAGACGGTTCATCAGGTAGGACTTCCCAGTACGGTACAGTCCCACGATGGCCACGACTACCACTGGCTGAGAAATCTCGTCTAGAATCTCTACGGCTTTCTGGTTCACAGACAGACGCTCCTTTTTGTTTTCCACCAGACAAATAGGGGCCATCATTTGCGGTCCACTGGCCATAGCAACTTGCCACACTAGAAGAAACTGCAATTAGTATACAAAGCCATGCTATGCATCAGTCCCAGATGTCTTAGGACTGATGACATTTGTACATTTCCTATTGTCAGTGAATAGATACGGAGGACATTCTCCTCTTCCTTCAGTAACACATGGCTCCATTATCTATGAGTGTAAAGAGAAGCTTTTTCCTTGAGAGAAGCCTTCCCGCCAGCCTGGTTCTAGAGCCGCATCAGTCTCAAATAAACACACAGAAGGCTATATTAATTATGAAGCTGTTGGCCTTGCTTGTTTCTTACTGGCTAGCTCTGACTTAAGTAATTGCCCCATAATTGTTAATCTAAGTATGTCTCTTACCGGAGAAGTTTCCAGGCTCCCTACCCCATGGCATCACATCTGGAACTTGTGTTTCTCCTACCCAGAGTCCTCCTGGACTCCTAGTCCCACCTATCTAGATTCCTATTGGCTCAACAGTGCTTTATTGACATAAGACTTCCCCAACGTATGAGGTTTCACCTCAATGTAAAGAAACCCAAACAACGATTACCTTCGTTAAGGTCTAACAATATGCTAAGGCTTGGTTGGAATGAACATCTTTAGCATGTGACCTCCCAAAATCTGTTAAGTACCTACTAGTTTGGGATTAGTGCATACTGCCAAGGAGATCAAAACCTAAACGGCCCAGCAAAATGGCAGACCAGTGGGTTCTAAGCCCTGTTTCCTCTGTGAACAGATTTTAAAGAGGCTGATAATGTATAGGAACTTTGTAAGACACCCATGAATTACACAGACACTGACATGTGCAGGTGAATAGACAGTGTGGACCCCATGTGGATTTACTTGACTTTTCACTGTCTAACCCCACCCCCTATCTGTCACAGATTCTGTCTACAGGGAACAAGCAGTAATTGCTGCAACAGGCTCACCTGGGGCTAACCTGGTCTCTGCTTTACCTAACTTGGATTTCAAGCAGGGCTTATTTCTTGAGTATGATACCAAAATCTCAACATGAGTGAATAAGTAGATAAAATCCACTTTGTAAAATTAAGAACTTTTGTACACTAGATGATTTATAAAAAGAGTATAAAAAGGAAACCCGAGAATGGCTGATGAGTCCTGTACATTACATATGAGGTAAAACATTACACAAATTTAAGATTGTTTTAAACAAGGAGCGTTCTTTAAATTCCTCACAGATAACTCAGTTTTAACATGGGCAAAACACTGGATTAGACATTTCTCCAAAGAAGGAGCAGGATCGGCCATAAGCACACAAGATAACATAAAATACTGCTAATCACTCCGTAAAAGAAAACTCTAAAATTTTAAAGAATGCATTTGAAGAAGATGCAATGCTCAACCTGGGAAGGACCCACCTGAAAGATAAGGAGCCTGTGTTCCCACGACGATGAGTGAGTCAGTTTTAACAAGAAAGCCTGGAAGCCAAATGAAGAAACTTTAGTTACACGTATTCTGTCTTGTGGCACTGGGGGCCTGGTATAAAAGTCTATAGTCACATAATCTCATTGTGTGATTTGGCTTCTTGTAACTTACTGATATTGAGTCTTGCTTCCCAATAACATACACATTTACTTGAAACCCCATGCTTGGTTTCGCTTGTGTTTGCAGTCTAAGCAAGAATGAGGCTCTTTTAAAACCTATTTGATTTTCTTCCTCAATAATTTTCAATCCCAGAGTGCATGATAAGGAGGCTTTAGGAAACACTGAGGAAGTGTCACCCAAAACCAAAAGATGTCACCTTGTACCCAGAAGGACAGTCACCACACAATACAAAAGCAAATACATGTAAACCAGGATTAAAAAATCTTAGATGTTCATGCACTGCCGCTAAGTGTGGAGAGTCATACTACCTCACGGAGCGTAGTCTTGTGTCCTATGAAATGAGTACTAACATTCGGTCCAAGAACTCTGCTTTGATTACATACAACACACAGGTGAGGGCTTGGACAGACCTTCGGAAAGCAATGATCATGGCAGCCATATTCACAACACCCAAAATGTGGAAATAACTGAATCTCCCATCAACAGACTATCTACAGGTGTGTAGATGGACACAGTGTGATTGTAACATGATAGAATATTATTCAGCCAGAGAAAATAATTAAATTCTCTTGCACACTGCAACACAGATAAGCCTGAGGACGTTATGCCAAAGAAAGACAAAGTACAGAATTCTGAGAATTTAGGTTAACAGGTGAAGTCACAGGTTTTCTTTACCCATAAATAGAAGAGTAAGATCAATAGCACGAAAAATACATTTAGCTCTATATTATTTGTATATATTTCACATCACCCTAGACATCCACAAAGAGGGTCTGCCTATCTACTTATGCTTAATAAAAGGTAGTGGACAGAAACTAAATGTATTTCTAATAGATGTTACCAAGCTCCTGTGCTGACATTTTCTCGGATGATTCCTACACAGGAAAGATGTTCTTCTGACTGCGGTTGCCTGTGAGCCTGGCCAGGGATGGTGAGGCTGTGGTCTAGGCTAAGGCAGTAGTCGGGCTCCCTCCCAGGGCTGTTCCCAAAGCTGCCAGAGCAGGGAGTCTGCAGTGTCAGGCTGCCACTGTGCAATGTCACTAATCAAAGGAATGACACTAAGCTTCAAACCCCAAAGTCAGCCACAGACGCCTGCAGACCAGACAAGACATAACCTGCCTCTTCCAACCTTCCCTCCATGGCCACTTTTAACTGGAAATCCAGTCCAGGTGAAGGAAGACAAAGTAAACATACCTGGTCCCCAAAGGTTGGTTGCAAGTACACTTCTCAGCTGCTCTAGGCTGCCTCTGCTTTCCTTCCAGTATCTTCCTATGCTCCTGTTTTTATAAGCACACCCAACACACACACACACACACACACACACACACACACACACACACACTGCAAAAAAATCACATGCTTCAGCAAAAATGAAACTGAAAGAGAACTCATCCAAAGTCTTGTTGACTTAAGCCAAGAATTGGGAGGGCAGGAAATGCAGTGAGGGACAGCAGTCCTTGCACTGAGGAGAACTTTGACAGTCTCTTTGCCGGAACTCCCTCCCCAGGGTCCTTGGCACAGTAAAAACTAAGGGAGATTACACAACTGGGGAATGTTGCAAGTGTGTTCCTTTCTGTGGAAATTCCCTGTGTTCCCTTGGTAAACAGGTTTAGTGTTTTTAGGACTTTTTCTAAAATTGAAGCTATTCTTTTTTCTGTTTGCTTCTTTTTCTATATATTTTTATCTAAATTACAAACAATATTGCTTCATATGTCAATCCCAGTTCCCTCTCCCTCACCTCCTCCCCTGCCCCCAACCAGCCCCCTATCCCATGCCCTTTCTGCTCCCCAGGAAGGGTGAGGCCTTCCATGGGGGATCTTCAAAGTCTGTCACATCATTTGGAGCAGGGTCTAGGCCTTTCCCCTGTGTCTAGGCTGAGAGAGCATCCCTCTATGGGAATGATTACCCGATGTCCATTCATACACTAGAGATAAACACTCTTCCACTGTTAGAGGTCCCATAGACTGTCCGGGTCTCCTAACTGACACCCACGTTCAGGGGGTGTGGGTCAGTCCCGTACTGGTTTCGGGGCTCTCAGTCTGGCATCCATGAGCTCCCCCTTGTTCAGCTGTTTCTGTGGATTTCCCGGACCCGGTCTTGACCCCTTTGCTCATCACTCCTCCTTCTCTGCAACTGGATTCCAGGAATTTGGCTGAGGAAACTATCCTTATAAAAATCATTTTTAAAAGAATCACTTGGAAAATAATAAGTAGGGCCGGCGCGGTAGCTCATTGGGGAAGCGCTCTAAAGGCTGCAGCTGTACAAGCCCGGAGACACTGCTCCATCTTGGATCCATGTAAGGTAGAGGAGGGAGCTGACCCCACAAAATTGTCCTCCAGCCTCGAGGTGGGTACCCTGGCATGTGGGCACACAATGATAAACAACAAAGAAGAAGAGAAAGCGAATATCCCTTAACGTAATAAACAGAAATGCCCACTGTTGCCTTTTGTCTAAATTCTTGTGCTTCCCCTCCACAAGACTCCGCCCCTCTCCACAGACCACGTGGTCGGGTCAAAAGTCAGAGGAGAAAGCTACTGAGTGGGTGCGTGTTTATGGAGTGAGGAAATGAGCTAAGCGCACAGTAGGGCGATGGCAGGTGACGGAGGGAAAGCCCAGGGACATGACACCGTGTAGGGAGAGCATCTGTGTCCCTGGCTTCTCCACGACTCCCCTCCTCGTCTGTGCCAGCTCCTCCCATAAAAAGGGAAGCAGAGCTTCATGGCCGCTGCCTTGCAGGGACGTGGCTGGAGTGTCCGCGTATCACCGGCAAATGAGTGCAGGCAGCTGCTGCCTACAACGTTTTATTTTGGGGGACAGACCCACCTTCCATTTGACCTTTGGCTTCCATCCATAAGATGCTGTGACGTGGAGACAGTCGCCGCTGTTCCCTCTATCCTCATCTTACCCTTTACCCTGCAATTCAAACCCGGGGCTCTACTTCTGTCTACTCAAGGAACAATGAACAAAATCCTTTCTTTTTCCCCCCTTAGAGCAGAATTATCAAGAGAGAGAGACAAAGAGAAAGAGACAGAGAGAGAGAGAAAGAGAGAGAGAGAGACAAAGACAGAGAGACAGAGAGAGACAGAGAGAGAGACAGAGAGAGACAGAGAGAGAGAGAGAGAGAGAGAGAGAGAGAGAGAGAGAGAGAGAGAGAGAGAGAGAGAGAATATTTCCTCCTCCTGTTTGATTTTCATCCGTGTGAGTTCTTGCTGGGTACTGAGCTCTCCACGCCCAGGTCTACACAACTCATAGTCTACCTCTTAATAACATAGAGCTGCTCCTAATGCTTAAGGAAAGCAGAAGACAGATATGGTTGACAGAAAGTGGCCAGATGTCACACAAAATGTGGCTGGTTTGGGTGACACAAAGCACCTGCCTGGGTCTGCAGGACCCTTTGGAACAGAGAGGAAGCCTAGCATCTGCGTGTGGCACGTGACTTCAGCTGACTTGGGTAGGGCAGGCGAAGGTGAAGCTAGGAAGCACAGATTTTTGAGCGGATATCCTGCTGGCCTTTTCTAGATGTAGCCTGTGTGCTCTAAGCAGGGACCAAGGAAGAGCAGTTTCTCTGTGGGTGTCGAGAGCCCTGGCTGAGGAGGAAAGTGCTTGCCCACGCTGCCATCATGTGGTAATTCAAAACCATCTTTTCATAAGGTACCAATTGCTAGATTTAAAAAAAATTACTATGAAGAAATGAAATCCATGTCATCATGAGCAACTCGTAACATATTATGAACAGAAATCATTAAATGAAGCAGAGGTGAAACCAATTGTAAAAAAAAGCTACGTAAGTCCCCGGTACACAGTGGTGACACCGCCTCTGTATTTCCTAACATATATGCCAGGGACAATCTTCCTTTAAAGGCGAGTGGAGATGACAGAGAGCAGTTAAGGCCTTCAGCTCCAGTGACAGGATAGGTTTTCTATTGGTCTTTCCATCTAAGAAAGAGATATGGATGCGTGCACTATTTGGTAAGCTATGACAGGACACCAGTGTCTGAATCAAGGGATAATTGGGAAATGGGGACATTGCAAAGGCAGTGTGTAAGCCACTGATCTGTAACTGTAAGTCAGTCCCAACACAGACAGACTGAAGAATAACACAGAAAGTCTTCTGAGATTCCCTCCTTTCCTGTGTGTTTGCTTTGCTAGAGAAAGACCCCCAAAACTGTCCCAGTGCTCACTCCGTAAGCCATGTTGGCTTCAAACTCCTCTTGCCTCCACATCCCGAGTGCTAGGATTACAAGTTCGAGGCCCCGTGCTGGACTCAAGATTTCTTTTTTTAAAGACAGCATTCTACAGTTACCATGAGCTGGGAAATGCCCCAGGTCTTTAAATGCCTTCCAACATAGGGGCTGGACTTGGGGAAATGAGCAAACAGAACTTGAAGAAAAGCCTGGGCAAGAAAAGAGGAGAGATGCTCTACACAGGTATTGTAAAGTTGTAACCATCTGCTGTGGCAGAACTAACTGTGCCCACAGCGTGCTCGGAACAGCAGAGAGGCAGAATAAACGGACAAATGAGGCTGTCGAATAAACTAAGCTGTCCTCTGGGAAACAGGGACGAATGCACCTGAACCGTCTACTCAGACAAAGCTTTCTGCTGATAAAATTTCAAATTCCGAATTAATAAAAAAGGACAGTAACACATTTTCATCTCTTTTTAAAAATATTTATTTATTATGTATAAACATTCTGCCCCCATATATGCCTACACACCAGAAGAGGGCACCAGATATCATTATAAATGGCTGTGAGCCACCATGTGGTTGCTAGGAATTGAACTCAGGACCTCTAGGAAGACCAGTCAGTGCTCTTAACGGCTGAGCCATCTCTCCAGCCCCATTTCCATCTTTTTAAAGTAATTTTGAGTAGCCAAGGAGATGACTCAGTTTGTAAAGCATTTGCTATGTAAAGCATGACGATCTGTGTTAGACCCCTAGAAGCCAAGTTCTAGATCCTGGTCAGCCAGTCTAGCTGAAACAGCAAGCTCTGAGAATCCACGCACAACCCAAGATGATGGTGTGTTCTGTGCCATGGTTGGCCACGATAGCTGAACCAGCAAGCTCATGTTTCAGAAAACGACTCAAACCTAAGGTGAAGAGAGTTAGAGGATGGCCAACATTGACTTACACCACACACACACACACACACACACACACACTCACACACACACACACACACACACACACACACACAGAAACAAGCGCCTGCACACACATGCATATTTCCACCCAAATCAGACATCCAACAAGGAGGCCTACTCTCTCCACTCTTCAAAATAGTGATTGAAGCCTTAACTAGAGAGTAAGATACAAGATTGTGGGATAACAGTTTTGTGCAATGTATCAAGATGTTTGTTTTACCTCACCTGCTGAAGGCACCTGTTAGCTCTCAAAACTTAAATTAACCACCCTCTATTAACCTACATCCTGCCACAGGGCTTGTTACCTCTCCTCACTACTCTACAGCCAACTTCCTCTGTGTCTGCTGGCAAATCTCCTGTGCCTCAGATTCTCTCCCAGGGCTCCTATCCTGTCCTGCTTAGATATCTGCCGTTCACCTCCTTATTAAGCCAATCCAAGGGTGCCTTGGGAAGGTGAGGTAAAACAGAGCTCTAGCAGAACACACACACACACACACACACACACACACACACACACACACACATGCAAAAATTAATAAGATTGATGAATGGGGTCACATAAAATTAAAACACAGAAAATGAGATAATCGTCAGAGTGGAGAGAAAACCTGCCTACCGAATGGCAGAAAAACATGTATCCCATATACAACTACTATGAATTAATATCCAGAATACATAAAGACCTCAAAATATTAAGCATCTGAATTAATCAACAAATGGTCAAATTGCTTGAACATGACAGTACTCAAACTAAAAACTACAAGCAGGCAATGAACATGGAAAACACCGACATTCTTAGTCGTTGAGGAAATGTAAGACAAAGCATCCAGATTCTGTTGAGGGTGACTTTTGTCTGTCTAGTCTAGGTCCTACGGGACCAGTTTTCTCCCCACCTTCTGGATCACCGCACCTGCTTAATGAAATAACCACTCTGAGACTTAATATCAGTTACAATTGTTTAACCAATGGGTTAGGCTTCTTACTGTCTAGCTCTCTCTTAATTATTAACACAGATCATTTCTGATAATCTGTGTATCTCCACGTGGCCTTGGCTTACCACTGATGTCCCTGGCATCCTGACTTCCTGGTGGCTACATGGCATCTGTTCTCTGTCTTCCTTCCCTCTTCATCTTTGTTCAGAATTCCCACCTAGCTGAATTCTGTCTGTCCATTGGCCAAAACAGCT